TTTTTTTTTTTTTTTTTTTTGTCTTTTGTCTTTTTCCGTGTCCGGCAATGGATCGCAACCCTCAGTGTTGCCCCCGTACTGGACTGGGGACCAGCAACGGGATTGCAACCCTCGGTGTTGCTCCCGCGCCTCGCTCAGCCAGTGAGCGGGAACCGGTCTGTATGTGGGATCCGAACCCTCGGGCGGGAGCGCCGCCGCTCTTCCCAAGCGGCACACTTATCCAGTGCACCACCGGGCCGGCCCCTTGATGGTATCCTTGGAAGCATGAAGGTTTTCAATTTTGATGAAGTCCATATTATCAATCTTCTCTTTTATTGCTATGCTTTTGACGTCATATAGAAGAAATTTTTGAATAAACCAGGCTATGAATATTTACTCTGATGTTTTCTCCTAAGAGTTTTATCATTTTAATTCTTATGCTTACATCTGTGATCTTGATCTTATGATCTTAACTCTGAGTTAATTTTTGTACATGGTATGCAATATGGGTTCAAATTCTTTCTTTTGCATGTGGATATACACTTGTTGCAGAACCATTTGTTGAAAATACTATTCTTTTCTTATTGAATTGTGTTGGTCCCTTCATAAAAAAATTGATTGACCATAAATGTATGAGTTTATGTTTGGAATCTCAGATATCTTCCATTGATCTATATGACTATTCTTAGGCCAGTGCCTCACTGTCTTGATTGTTCTAGCTTTGTAGTAAGTTGTGAACTCAGGAAGTGTGAGTCCTACAACTTTGTTCTTTCTCAACAATGTTTTGGATATTCTGGGTTCTTCGTATTTCCATATGAATTTTAGGCTTGTCAATTTCTGTAAAATAGCCAGTTGGGATTTTGATAGGGCTTGTGTTGAATCTGTGGGTCAACATGGGGAGTATTGGTATCTTAATACTGTCTTCTGATTTGGGCTGTTTTTCCATTTATTAAGCTCTTCTTCAATTTGTCTCAGTAATGTTTGGTAGTTTTCAATGACATACATTTTCTGTTAAATTTGTAAGTGTTTTTTTCTGGGGTGCTATTGTAAGTAAAAAACTTTTTTTTTTGTCTTTTTTTGTGACCGGTAAGGGGATCGCAACCCTTGGCTTGGTGTCTCCTGCACCGCGCTCAGCCAGTGAGCGCACCGGCCATCCCTATATAGGATCCGAACCCACGGCAGGAGTGCCGCCGCGCACCCAAGCGCTGCACTCTCCTGAGTGCCCCACGGGGCTGGCCCAGTAAAAAACATTTTAAATTTCATTTTCAGCTTGTGTATTTCTGGTGTATAAAAATACAATTGATTTTTTAATGTGGATCTTGTATTCTGCAACCTTGCCAACCTTGTTATTATAGTTCTAATTGTTTTATAGTAAATTTGTTTGGACTTTCTATATACAAGATTACATCTTCTATGAATAGAGATAGTTTTACTTTCACATTTACCTATTCATATATCTTTTTTGGTATGTTCATTCCTTCTTGCACTTCTGCACTTCCATCTGAGAGTATTTCCCTCATCCTAAAGAATTTCCTTTATCATTTCCTATATAGCAGGTGCAATGGTGATTAATTTCTCTGATTTTTATTGTTTGGAGATGCCTTTATTTAGCCTTCATTTCTGAAGAACAGGTCCACTGGATATAGAATTCTAGTTTGCAGTTTTCTTCCCCAGCACTTTAAAGATGCAATTCCATTGTCCTTTAGCTTTCATTGTTTTTGTTAAGAAATTATGTGTCTATATTGTCTATACATTTTTGGTCCCCTGAAAAATAATGTGGGGTTTTTTCTTTTTTGCTTTTTTCCTCTTGATGTTTTTAAGACTTCACTTAATCTTTGGTTCACAGCACAGATATGCTGTACCATTTCCTAGGTGTGGTTTCTCTATCTATTTGGGGATCAATGAGCTTTTTCAATTTCTGAATTGATTTCTTTCATCAGGTTTGAAAATTCTTTTTTTTTTTTTTTTTTTTTTTTGGCAGCTGGCCAGTATGGGGATCCAAACCCTTGACCTTGGTGTTATAACACTGCTCTAACCAATTGAGCTAATCAGCCGGGCTGGGTTTGGAAAATTCTTAACCATTTTTCTTCAAATATTGCTTCTTTCCTACTCTGTCCTTCTGGATCTCAAATTGCAGTGTGTCGGAACCTTTGACCATAGCCAAATCCTTCTTGTGCCATGTTCTGTTCTTTCTATCTCTTTTTCTCCAAGCTTCAGTTTGGATATTTTCTACTGATTTGTCCTTAAATTCAGAAACCCCGCCTTCTGCTGAGTCTAGACTATCCCTAAACCTGTCCAATGAGTACTTAATTTCATAGGTTGTGTTTTGCTGTTCTAGAATGTCTGCTTGATTCCCTTTCATGGATTCTAATTCTCTCTTGAAATGTTAACTGCTATCCATTTTGCTCATCCTTTACTCTTTTTTCTAACATAGTAATTATCATTATTTTAAGTCCTTTTCTACCAACTCCACTATATGGTTCATCTCTGGGTCTGTTTCTATTGACTTGGTCAACTTCCTTTAAAAAGTGTTAAGTTTTGTTCTGGCAGGCAGTCAAATTACTGGCAGATTCCTTTGATCATTGATGCTTGGTTTTAGGTGTTAGAGCAGACATGCATAGGACCTGGCGAGAGAGCTTTCTGGACAATCTTTGTATGGCTGGGCTGCATGTAGACCAGGTATTTGGGGTCAGTGGTGGGCAGGGCCCCAGGCTTTGCATCTGCTCAGTGACCTATGACCTTACCTAACAAGGCTTCAGGGCATGGCATCCAGAGCCCTGGAGCAAATCAGTCCCCGAAGTCTTGCTGGACGCCCCACCCCTCAGTGAGCTCCCTAACCACTGACCATGGCCAGTATAAATATCAACCCATCATAGCACACTAAGCTCACTCATGGAAGCCAGAGCCGTCAGATTCACCTGGAAACTCTGAAGACACCTTCTCCATTCATCTGCCCCACCTCCACCATTAAGGCTTTTGTCTAGGCATGTCATTTATAGTTAAAACTCTTGGTGTGTTTATAGAATTGAACAGCTTATGGGGTCCTTCCGCGTGTATTGGTTCATTTATAATAGTTACCACTTAGAGTAATTTGAGCAACAATTCCGGGGAGCACAGAGAACGAGAAAGAGCTGCACAGATGCTGGGGGTGTACGGGGGACAAGCGGGGGGTGGTAGGTCTCAGAGCAGCCGGGGATCGGGCTGCAGAGCCCAGCTCTTGCCCTGTCGCACCCCATGGCTGCCAGGTCTCTCTAAGTCTCCTTCATTTTCCGCCCTCCTGCTGACCACCACCCTCTGTCCTCCAGGAGCAGCCTCTGCCATCAGGTGTCTGCTCCCTCCCCACAGGGCAATCAGCCCTGAATCTTACATTTTATCATTTTTATGATAAAACAGGTTTTGTTTTTCTGTTTGAACTTGATAGAATGGAATCACGCTGGATGCATGCCCTCGTCTTGACTCTTTCGTCTGACGTTGTGCTTGTGAATCCACCTGTGGCTGATGCACCTGCCACGCTTCACTGCTCACGCTGTGGAGAGCTCCGCTGGTGGAATGTACCAGAACCTGCTGATTGGTTCTTGTGTGAGTGGGCATTTGACTCGCTGCCAGTTTGGGACTATTGTGAAACTGGCTGCTGTGGATTCTCTTGTGCGTGTGACCCTGTGCCCACGTGCAGGGACTTCTCTGAAGAGGGAGGTGCTGGGCTGAGGTGTGTGCGTGTGGCCACATCACCTCCCCATGGGTTGGCCCCGTTCACATGGCTGCGAGCGGTGGGTGAGTGCCCCTTGCTCTGTATCCTCTTAATACTCGGTGTCGTTGGACAAATTCTGACCAGGCAGCTGGTATGTGTGGTCGTATCTTGCCATAGCTTTAGTTTGCATTTTTCCTGATTCCTAAAGAGGTTGAGCATTTTCACAGGGTCATGACCATTTGTGTTTCCAATTCTGTCATCTGCCTTTTGTGTCTTCTGTTGTTTTTATCTCACTGTCTGTTCTGGACACTTAGTTTTGCTGGTTGTGTGTGTGACAAACACCCCAGTCCTGGCTTGCCCTGCACTGTCATCACAGTGTCCCGCTTGGTCTAACCACTGTGGACTGAGTCACTTCTGCACCTGTCTCCCCTCCGGCTTCCATAACTTGCATTCCTCATCTGTCTTCTTGTTCTTGTGTTTCCTGCTCGTGGTACAGAGCACAGACTGAGCAGCCCCCCACTTGCCAGTCACCCGACCCCACCCCCAAGGCCACTGCTGCCAACAGCTTGCTGTGCTCCCTTCCACAGCTTTCTTAGGTGTTGGCACACATACCTACGCTGGGACTTGGTCACCTCTGCTGTTTCCGAGTTTGGATCCACTTCATAGTCTGGTGAGGGGCCTGAGGTCCAGGAGAGGGGTCTCTGTCTAGGAGAGGGGCCTGAGGTCCAGGAGAGGGGCCTGAGGTCCAGGAGAGGGGCCCTAAGGTCCAGGAGAGGGGCCTGAGGTCCAGGAGAGGGGCCCGAGGTCCAGGAGAGGGGCCCGAGGTCCAGGAGAGGGGCCCGAGGTCCAGGAGAGGGGCCCGAGGTCCAGGAGAGGGGCCCGAGGTCCAGGAGAGGGGCCCGAGGTCCAGGAGAGGGGCCCGAGGTCCAGGAGAGGGGCCCGAGGTCCAGGAGAGGGGCCCGAGGTCCAGGAGAGGGGCCCGAGGTCCAGGAGAGGGGCCCGAGGTCCAGGAGAGGGGCCCGAGGTCCAGGAGAGGGGCCTGAGGTCCAGGAGAGGGGCCCGAGGTCCAGGAGAGGGGCCCGAGGTCCAGGAGAGGGGCCCGAGGTCCAGGAGAGGGGCCTGAGGTCTAGGAGAGGGCAGAGCAGGCTCAAGTCACACCTACAGAGGACGGGAGGGATGAAGCGCTAAGGTGGGAGGCCTTCGGGTGGGGATCAGGTAGAGCCCTTGCTGGTGGCAGGTGTCCCAGGGAGGGTTCACAGCAAGGGGATGGCAAGGGCAAGGCTCTGAGGGGAGCCGCCCTGTCGTGTTCCTGCAAGCGCAGGGTCCCGTGCTCGCCCCGTTCCCCTCCACTTAGCCCTTTCTGCTCGCACCTGCCACGCAGTGCCTGCCTCCCATAGTGCAGCCCCCACACGTGGCTTTGGCCTTGAGACCATTCTGTTCCTCTGGCCCATGCCTGTCTGCTCACCTGTGCACCATTCTAATTATTAGTGTCCACATATGGCTTACTGTCAACTTTCCTGGCTCTTCCCAGTCAACGTCATGTTTTGGCTGATATTGGAATTAAAAATTTGGGAATGCCACACTTTGCCCCTACTTTGCATTAATTTCTTTAAAGTACGTGGACCATATGGCCTTTCCTGACCCCCTGGATGGTGAGGTGGTCTTATGAGAGGGGAGCCACACATGGTCAACAGCCGGCTTCTCCCGAAACACTGTAGAAAACCCTCAAAATTGTCCCAGCACCCCCATCCTTCTCTGGCTGAGGGCTAGGGGCACTGGCGGGTGTGTGCCTGGAACCACCGGCAGGTGGCTTGGGGCCGGGGTCGGGGGACAGGAGTGGGACTGAGCAGGAGCTCTCTGTGCCACAGAAATGCACTGTTCCCAGACCAAGTTCGAGGACACCTTCCCCCTCAAAGTGCTCATCTTCCAGGTCGCCACCTTCTGCTTGTCGTCCATCTACATCGCCTTCTTCCAGGGCAGGTTGGTGACCTTCCCTCCGGCCATGCCTCGTCCTCCTGCTTCCACTCCAGCCGCGCTTGGGGAGGGTGGAGACGGACGGCACAGGGGACAAGGCAGGGGCACGGGGGCCCCTCCTGGTCTCCGCTGGGCTCAGGGGCCCACGGGGGTCCACCTGGCAGCCTGGACTTCGTGAAGCTTGTGGCTCCTGCAGGTCAGGTGTGACGGCTTAGCTCAGGCCTCCAGGGCCCAGTGGAGGGGACGAGACCTGGGCAGAGCCTCATCACTCATGGCCTCGCGACCCCGATCCTCCCCTAGGTTTGTGGGATACCCGGGCAACTACCACACCTTGTTTGGAGTCTGCAATGAGGAGGTGCGTGTGCTCCAGTGGACCTGCCTCACCTTAGGGCCAGGGACCTTCTTGAACCGTGCCTCCCGTGATCTCCACTGCAGCTGTGACTTGCAGCAGTTCTTCCTGACCCCACTCAGCCGCCATCCAAGCCAGGGCTGGCTTCGCAGCTGCCCGCCACATCTCCATTTGGAACAACCATCCACAAAACACACACCCCATGTGTCCTGGCCTGCATCACCCCTTCCCATTCTGACCCGATTTGTGCCCAAGATGAGTTTGAGCCATGAAGAGGGACCAGGAGCCGCTGGCGCTGCCCCGCATCTGCTGGGACTTTGGGGATACAGAGACACAGAGGCTGGCTTCCTCGTGGTCTGTCCTGAGTTGTCCCTGAAGTTGTCCCCAACCCCCATTAGCACAAGTGGGCCCTGCTTGCCTTCGTGACTCAGTAACTCCAAGAGCCAGGCGTGGGCCTGGGTTTTCAGAAAGTGGAAGTTGGTTTGGTAGAGCATGAAGCATCGTTGTCGAGTGGGTCCCCCCAAAGCAGACCCCAAGACAAAGATTTGGGTGCAAGTAGTTGATGTGGGCATCACTCCAGGAAGCATGCGAGGGAGCAGGGAGTGGGCTTCACCCTGTGAAGGACCCTCCAAAACACCAAAGAAAACCCTTAAAGTTGTCCTTGCACATCTGGTCCCTCTCTGGCTGGGAGCCGAGCAGGCCCGCAGCTAGGGACTCCACAGCTAGGGTCATCTGGAACCACCCACAGGTGGCCTCCAACTGGGCCGGGGGGCAGGAGTGGGGCTCCAACAGCACGGACTGGGCACCTGACCTGAAAGATCATCTTCTCCTGGTGAGGAGGGAGAACAGAAACTTCCCACAGGGTCCGGGCCCTGACCCGACCCAATTGCAAAGTGGCTGTGCCCCCCTCCCCGCCCCCACCAGGGACGTTCTCTATTTTCCCATGAGGGGGAAGGGCAGGATGGGACAGAGCCCTGGACAGGGGCAGCTCAGACTCCAGCTCAGGGCATGACTGCGGACGTCACACTGTACTAGGCAACTTTCAGTTATGAGCGGGGAAAGTTCCCAGCTCAGACCGGCCTAAGCAAAAAAGGGGGTTTCACTAGCTCCTGTGTCAAAAACAGGCAGGACTCTGTGCGTCACGTATGGCTGGGTCCAGGTGTTCATGGCCTCTCCCTACCTGGTGAGGAAGGCCCCTGAAACCTTCAAGGCACGCTTGCAGGAACTCCCCAGCCCCCTCTCACTGGCTCCAGTCAGGTCACTGATGGGTGGGGCCTGCATTGGGTCTGCCTGGAGCCAGAGGCAGCCCCTCATAACCCCTCATAATCCCATGTGGGTCCCCAAAGGGAAACTGAGGTGCCACAGGTACAAATGGCAGGGCCTCTGCAGTCATTCCCATGCACAGTCTGCCCACTGGACCTGTGGGGCTTGGATAAGGTCGGGAAGGGGGAAGGATGGAGGGGGGGGTTTCTGCCATCCTCAGGTGCCCAAGGCACGTCTGAAGGGAGGTGGGGGCGGGGCATAGGCAAAGAGAAGGAAGGTGGGTATTCGGCCGGTCCCTCTCCCAGCTAACCTGAAGCCCTGCTGCTGTAGTGTGCGGCTGAGGCTGCCTGATCGAGCTGGCACAGGAGCTCCTCCTGGTCATCATGGTGGGAAAGCAACTCATCAACAACATGCAGGAGATCCTTGTCGTGTGAGTCACCCCTCCCTGCCCTGGGCAGCGTCCAGGGACCAAGG